CGTCGTCTCCTATAAAGGCAACGGGCAATGAGTGTGGGGGCGGGGGTGAAGGGGGGGGGTTAGGGGGTGCACTGACCGCAGACCGGGGCGACGGCGGCGAAGACGAGACACGAGTGATCGCAGCGACAGAAGGGTTGACGCGAGGACTCGTCGAGCGCGCAAAGGGCGCCGAAAGCTGCGAGAGAATATAATATTAGGAATATAGGAGAGGGAGAGCATATAAGAGAGCACTTGTACCGCAGAACGTGTGATCGCACGACGAGTCTGAGGAAAGAGAGAGAGTTATGAGTGTTGGAAAGCGATTATTTTATTATTACGTGGAATGCGAGCGAAGAGAGAATCTGTTGGAAGATTAAAAGGGATTAAAAGATAAGCTCTTTGTTCTGTTCGCGAAGAGATAACACTCACAGAGCGAGGAAAGGGCGGCGAAGAGGAGCGCGAGAGCGGCGGCCGCGAGAAGAGCCCAGTGGCGGCGCGAAGGCCTCGAAGCGAAGACCGAGAGGTTCTTCATTGGAAGACAGCGTTTGGAAGACTGAATGAAGTGTTGGAAATATTGTTGCAAAGAGTTGAGCGTTAATGACGTCACGTTTTGGTCAAATAAAGCTTATTTCGCATCGATTTTAAAAGCGTTTGAATAATCATTATTATTATCTCGCGATCGATGCGACGGATGGACGCGCGCGACAGATGTGTATTGTTTGAATAATTGCGCGAAAGATTGTTGTCTCGAGAGAGAGCTTCTGGCGAAAGAAGCTTTTGGTGTTGTGTTCGTCGTGTGTCTCGCGCTTCGCACCTGAGACCCAGTGTTGAGACCGAGATTATCGCCAATCGATTGGCAAAAAGGGCGCATTCGCTGACAGCGCGCGCCACAGCTCTGCCACTGTGTTGTGCAGTTGGGATGTGGACTTCGGGCGCGAAGGTCGTCGTCGTTGCGGCGCTTCTCGTCGTGAGTTTGTTTCTAATTATTCTCTTTCTCTTTCTTTAAACCCTTTTTCGCAGCTTTTCGTCGTTTTTGGCGTTTTTTGCCTTTTCGTCAAACGTAAGCTTTTCTCTACTTTTTTCGCTTTTAATCTTTCTCTCTCCCGATTTGCAGACGACGCCACCGACCAGTGCTCCGAGTGTCAGTTCGGCGCCAAATGCCACGTGACGTCCGCTCGCACTCAATGCGTGTGCGAAGAGCGGTGCGAAGAGGAGGAGAGAGCGTTGCTTTGCGGTGAGAGAGAGAGAGAGAGCGAGCGAACAATGAGTTGAGTTTTTGAATTTAGGAAGCGATGGAAAACGGTATTTGTCTTTCTGTCAAATGAAGAGGTTTTCATGCATTCAAGAGAAAAGGATTGTAAGCGCGAGTTGTGGTGAGAAATCGATTCTGCGATTCATTCATTCGTGAGAAAGTCTTTCTCATTAGAGATAAAATCGATTCTTGGGTTCCGCCTCTCAATGCCAGTGACGTCTCCCCTCTAGACTCGTGGTGCCAATCGCTGCCGTGTCTGTCGCCACTGTCGCGCAACGCGTCTCAAGTCCTGTTGTCCGCCGTTTGCGGCCAAAACCACAAGAGCTACGCCTCTGAGTGCGAGTTGAATGCGGACGAGTGCCGCGAGAGGGCGTTCATCGGAGTCCGCGGAACGGGTTTGTGTCCCGAAGACCACTGTTTGCCGAACACGTGTTCCCAACCCTTCGCCCAATGCCTGCCAACACAACAAGGATTTCGGTGTTTTTGTCCACAATGTCCGCAAAGCACCGAAACAGCCGTTTGCGCCTCCAATGGACGCCTCTATGAGAGCGAGTGTCACGTGAGACGAGACGCGTGTCTTCTGGAGCGCGACCTCCGAGTCGTGCGTTCGGGAGATTGCGGCCAACAATGCGCACAGAAATGCGTGTTCGGCGCCAAATGCTTGTCCGGGAAATGCGTGTGCGATGAGAGGTGTCAGAGGTTTGTCTCCATATTCTCCCATATTGTGTGTAACGAGTGTTTGTACCGAAAGGTCCGTCGCCTGGATTTGCGGAACTGACGGTCAGTTTGAGTGCTTTTAAGCTTTTGTTCTCATTCTCTGATTGGTCAGGAATTTCGTACGAAAACGAATGCCTTCTTCGACGACAATCATGTCATCTATCGGTCGAAATCCGAGTCAAACACAGCGGCAGTTGCGACGAGACGTCAGACAAAGTGGAGCGACAATCACTTGAGTGCGAGAAATGCGAAGACAAGAGATTCGAACCGATTTGTGCCAACGGTTGTACTAAACGTTCCTTTTAAACATTATTTATTCTCGAGATTCGAGTCATTGTTAAAGCTTTCAAAACACAATTCAAAACACAATTCAAAACACAATTCAAACAGAATTCAGGTCTCAATGAGTGTTCGAATTGTTGACCAATTGTTGCTTTTCGAACATTTTTTTAAAATAATTTTTGACATTTCGTCACAAAAATGTCTTTAAAATGAAATCGAAGTAAAAATTGGAATTTTATTAAGTTTTAAAACAATTAATGAAAAGTCGCGCAGAATTTAGAATTTGAAACAAAGCCTCAAAAGTAGGTTTGAGTGAAATATTCAAACATTTAGAAAAGTCGACACTTTTGCCCTTTTCACACAAATTCGAAATTTTCACATTTTTTCGGTCCTTTAATTAATTGCAAGAGTTATCATTTAAACAATTTAAAACTAATTTTCTTCATATTTTAAACTTATCAAGAATTTAGAATTCTCGGAATATTTTACAAATGTTTTCTAATTTTCAAAATAGTGATTAATTTACGACAAATGAAATCTGATTTCCACTTTAAACACTTTAAAACCACAATTCGTGTGAAGAATGTGGTTTATAGGATCGTGAAGTCTATGGGGTTTAACGTGGGATACGCGTATCCTATACTTTAACACGCTTTTACATGGGTTTCTATGCGATTACAGCTCAAGTCTATGAAATAACATGAGTAATGCTAAGTCTATGGCAATGCTAATCCTATGCGTAATGTTAAGTCTATGGGAGAAATGCTTTTTCTATGGAGATTGAATCAATCGCAATTTTCGATGAATCGAACTAATTGTTGTCGAAAACAATGCCATGAGGGTTAGAGTTAGAATATGCCACAGAATTGTCAGCATTGGCCGCAAGGGCGCGCTCCCGTCGTTCTTTACAAAAGTTGCAAAACTCGACAAATGTCTCGCGTTTTAAATGATTGTTTGCCATAAAAGTAACTGTGATTTGTTCGGCAGACGGAAACACGTACAACAATGAGTGCCAAATGGGGAGAAGCGCGTGCGAGAAGCGGCAGGAGTTGACGGCGTGAGCGCTTCCAGTCCTTTCCAACCAATTAACTCCTCTTTAGTCTCTTTTACGGCCAGTGCGACGACGAGGACCGGTGGGAGGGGTCGGCGGCCGACAACTGCCACCAGCCGTGTCTGTTCGGCGCGAAGTGCGCAAACACCGCCGGTTCAGCGCCCCGTTGCGAGTGTCACGTGAGTAGACAACACCTCTTCGCCAACCAATCAGCGCTCTGTCCGACAGTTCCGCTGCTCTGACGTCACGTCGGGTCGCGTTTGCGGACTTCTCGCGAACAACGAGACGCGTCTCTATGACAACGAATGTCGTCTTCGCGAAGAGAGTTGTCGAAGACAGCAATCGATCGCCAATTGTTCCCAACTTTGCGGCCACTCGTCTCCCGTGTGGCGCTCGGGACGCCCTCTGGCGTGCGTCGGCGGCGACGAGTGTCCGCCGAACAGCGGGTGTGTGGGCGGCGTTTGTTGTCAATGCCGTTGCCATAGAGACGGAACCGAAGCTCCGATGCGTTGCGATGACAACCGATGCAAATGCAAACGGGGTTAGAGATCACGTGACGTGTGACCACAATTAACGCGTGTTTTGCAGGCATTTCTGGCGTTTTCTGCGACCGATGTTTGCGCGGCTTTTACGCCTTCTCCTCGTCGGGCTGTTCCGGTAAGAAATGCCGCAATATTCGCGCCTTTAACCCTTGTTTCGCGCAGAGTGCAAATGCCACGCGCAGGGATCAGCGCGCAGCGACTGTCATCAGCGAACAGGTGAGCGCTCGAGAAGAGCACGTGATGCTGACATTGCTTTCCCTTCAGGGCGCTGTGTGTGCAGAGCGGGGTTCGCGGGCGCGAAGTGCGAGACGACAATCAAAACGACAATCAAAACAACAAATAAAGAGTTTATTCCTTGAAATCCAGTTTTTTGAATCTCTCGATGTCGTAGAAGTTCGCGCGCACGACTCTCCCGCCGAAGTAGCGCCCGTTCAGGTCCACCACCGCTGCGGGGGAGAGACAGAGGGTTAGAGCTGCGGGCGTTGGAATTCGGCTCACCTTTGATCGCGGACTCGATTCTTCGGAACTCGACGAAAATCCTGACGGGAAACTCGTGCTCGGCTTCGGGCACCTCGAAGATGACGACGCGCATCACGTCTCCGTATTTGCCGCACTCCTCTTTGGTCTCCTCTTCCAGCAGTTCGTCCAAAGTTTTAATAATAATACATGTATGTTTAAAAATTCAAAATTAATTATTAAACAAAATGTTTGTGTATTATAAAATATTAAGATAAAATGTTTAATTTTAAAACACGACTTATACATAAACGTTTGATCAGTATTATCATGATCAAACAAAAAATCTCTAAACCTAATTGTTCGACAAGGGGTACGACAAACACTCCCTTAGCGTCCGATAGCCTAATGATATTGTTGTCGACAATTATTGTGTTATCGATAGGTATCTTATTTAGTTTAAACTCTATGTTTACGTAATGTCTTAATATACATGTACATACATATGTATATGTCTGTATGTCTTTATATATGTCTGTATGTCAACTCGATGTATGTATATCTCAATCCAATTAACATGAATGTGGTTTATAAGATTTATCTGACAATAAATAATCAATAAAATAAAAATATTGCAAAAATTAATTCGCCGATAAATACAATAACAGTGAAGCCAATGAATGCAAAAAACACAATAAATATATCGACCATAAAATACAACTCAATAGATTTATTAACGACAGTATTTTGTTTAGCATTTATATCGTTAATAAAAACATCTTGGTTATTATGATTAGGATTATCAGCAAGTTGCTTTCGCAAAGTTCGTAATCCATATAAAGTATCGCTAATTATTAACCGATTTTCGCAATCAATATTAATTCCCGACTCAACCATAATTTGAATGATTTTAAACACTAAATGTCTTTTATGTTTGTGTTTATCATTCAAACAATTTTTGGTGCATTTATTAATGGGGTGTCCCTTATATGACGGCAAATACTTTTCGGACCCAATTTTCAGTTTTAAACCAATGTGTGTTAACAGTCTGTTCAATACGTTAGAGCCCTCTCTTATGTAAACCATTTCCCGATTCTCGACCGCACGGAATATTTTCTAAACATGGTATTTATTAATTAATTTGTATATTGATTGGTTATATAATTGTTTAAATTAATTATAACAATTACATTTGCATCGTGCGGTGAGTTTTCATTAATAAATATTACTTTTCTTGTTGTAAATAATTTAAATATTTTCTCATCAGTTTCTCGATGGTTAATTAAGGCATTATATAAATGCCATATTTTTGTACTGTTTGGAATAATTATGGTGGTATTTGTTTTAAATAAGTCGTTCATGGAGTCAATAAATCGCCATGGTTGGTTTAACAGTGACGATAATATACCTGCGCTAAACATGAACGCCAAAATTAATGTTGCAAAAGCCCACGTGTTTTTTAAAATGTTTTGATTTTTGTTTATCGCCTGATTTAATAATGGTCTTATAGTGTTGAATAATATCTCGGTAACATTTGTTAATTTGCATGTATCTAAATAGAAATATTTATAATTATTTTAAAAAAAATTAATACACCTTATCCTCGATTTAAGGAAATGATCGGTAAAACAGAAATGTGTCTCTTAAATCGAATTCTCCTTATATCGAGTCTCATATCAATTTACCTAAAAACATCAAATATAGGCTTAAATTCGTGTTTTATTAGATAAAGTAATATTTAATTCATATAATCAATAATTTTTGTCTGTTTTAAACACTTTTGTCTACTATTGTCGATTTCATTTTCAAATTTATTAATGAATTCAAAACTCATACTAGAGCCATTAGTGTTTGACTTAAATTTCCTAAAAATTGTATACATCTGATGACTTTGATGTCTCAAAATTTTTAATAATGGCATCTCATTGGGCATAAAACATGTAAATGTTTGATATCATGAGTCTTTCAGCATTAAATTGTTTAATTTTCCCTTGATTTGGACACTTTTTGTCGACTAATTTAATCACTTTATATTTAGTCTCTAATGTAACACTATTTCAAGATTATTTGTCAGCCATTTTTAAGGGAAAATGAGTTTTTATAATAATAATCAACACTTTTATACAAAACGTGTTTTCATTTACGGTTATAATCAATACCTTTGTACAAAACCCGTTTTTATGTACTGTTTTAAAATAAAATTTGCTAATATCGAGTACAGCAGTGCTGTGCGTGCAGTAAAATATGTCTCTTATATCGAGTTTTGCTTAAATCAAATTTTCCTTATATCGAGTGCCATAATGTTAATCTCTCATAGGAGCGGTCGGTGCAGCAAAAAAC